TCGATAAAAATAGGTGTTACATACAGTAGATATGTACTGTTTAGATCAATGGTTCGGAGTATGTATCTAATTTCAGTAACCAACCGAGTCCATGACTTCGTACGTTGTATTTGTTTCGAAATATTAATGATTCGCCGTTAGAGGGCGAGCTCAGCGAATCCATTACACCCAGTGACTAGTTATTAGGCCCACTGTAGGCTAACTGATGTCGGATCATATTTTATAATGTAGACCAGTGAATCTCAGCCTTTTGGTGTACCGGACCCCAGTCCAATTCAGAACCATCCTCAAGGACCCCCAGAACAAAATTGACTCATCTATGTATCATTTGTGTTTTTGTGAGGACCAAATGCAGTCAAGTAGTATTCAAGTTAGTTGACTTAACTGTCCAGTATTTGGTAATATCATCAGCTATATTGGATTTTTCTTTCATGGGAACATGTCATGTCAAAATATACAAAAATTCATACTTTATACGGACCCCCTGGCCTTACGTCAAGGACCACTAGGGGTCCACGGACCCCTGGTTGAGAAACACTGATGTAGACGATTTATTGGCATATTTGTAATGAAAGGGAAAAATATTAGTTAAATGTCTCGTGTTTAGCCAAGCCAAGCCAAACAAAACAAGCCCTGCAAATTAGTAAAAGAAGTAGGCTAGGCCTACACATTTTATACTAGCACTTCACATTTAATAATTTTTGATGATTTGTTGCATGTAATAGATTTTTTAAAAACTGTAAAAATAATAATTTGTAATTGTTTTGTAAAACGTGTGTATGCGCACATGCTTTAAATTGTGCTAATGAAATAAACATTGTATTGTATTGTAAAATACAAAGAAAGGAAAACATGTGACGAATGAATCATACTTTATGTAACATTATATGAAAGTTTAATTTTAAATTGAATGTCCTCTTGGAAAAATAAGAACTTATGTACTTACATAAATGTACTCATGTTGTGTTGGGATACAGTTAAGGTTAGGGACAGGTTTTGTTTTATGGTTAGGTTTAAAGGTGGGTTTAAAGGGTAGAGTAGTCAACAGTGTAATTATAGATGTAATTAGAAAAAATTATTACAAATGTATTTACATGCAGGTCTTTTCAAATATATGTACAAACAATAAGATAAATTGATCAAAACCAAAAGTGGGTCTTCAATTTCTTTAAATCAACAAGAAAAAAATATAAACAAAAATGTCTTATTTATTAGAACTCCTAAAAGGTAGTTTATTTGTTTAAAATGTGATAATTTTATACACTTGATTAATCACATTTTCCTTAATTACATACCTCTTGATTTCCCACCCCCCAGTTTCTTACATTGTTTTGTTTATAATTTCTTAAATTAAGCAGATGAACACTTGAAATAGGAATTAATTTCAAAGTTGTCGTGCAGTGCAGGTAGTAAAGGTGTTCTAAAATTTTAGTGGGTTGATTTATGTTTTTTACATATTTTTACATATTTTGTGGAAGCGGCAGGTTAAGACAGCGGGTATCGATTGTGACAATTTACCCTATATCAGCGCTTCTCAACTCTGTTCCTGACACCCCACAGCCCTGCACATGTTGTATGCTTCTGTTATTTAGATCAGATTGATTCAGACAATCAGCTCGTTAGAAGAGCCAACCTCAACTTTCAGACACCATTTTTATTTTTTAGCTCAACTGTCACAGAATTGAATGCACAGGATTGTGGAATATCAAAGACTGAAAATACAGCTATGCTGCTTTCAAAAATTGATCAGTTGAAGGCATCTCAGAAGACAGGAAGTGGATTCGGGCAAGCCTTGGTACCTTTTTTTACCTTGAAATGTATCATCTGAAGTCAGCATTTTCAGTTTTTGGATGCAGCCAGTGTGTCTGATAAGAGAGACATACAAAATGTCCAGAGCAGTGCAGCACCAGAATGGAAATTAAAGGATCTGCTGCTAAAGTCATGCTGCCAGAAACCACAGCACATGTTCAGTGATCTAGTGGAGTCCATGCCTCGATGCATCAGAGCTGTTTTGGCAGCACAAGGGGACCTACACGATATTAGGCAGGAGGTTGTAATGCTGTTACTGACAGGGCATTGGTTCTTAAGTCCTGCAAGTTGTGAGGTGGGGCCTCCATGGATCGGATTTGTTGGTCCAGCATATCCCATAGATCAGGGGTGGCGAACGTCGGTCCTGGAGAGCCGCAGC